CTCAAACGCTTATTCTGATGATGGATGTCTATCAAATGCCTCTGAGTGGTCTTTAGTTGTTCTTTCAGAGTCTCTCTTTCGTCATGCCATTCAAGCTTCCTTTTTATGCTGCTAGCTTCGTATTTCCAGTACTCAGAAGTCTTATTCAGATTGGAATTGCTCTGGACTTGATCTCGATATCCTTTTCTCAAGTCTTCAAGTTCAAAACAAGTTTTCTTCTGTTCTTTCTCTAACTTGTCTACCTGATCATTCTGAGTATCGAAATCTAATTTCCACTGGTATCTTTTAGTCTCAAGTTCTCTTACCCTCTATTTTAATTCGTTATTTACAGCTTCAAGCTCGTTCCTTGCTATCTCTAGCTCGGAAGGAACATGCTTAAGATATTCTTTCATAGTCTGGATGTCCTTATGATCTGACATTGGGATTTTATCGTTTTTCCTTATCCTCTGTTATTCCAAATAGTCTGGAGCGAGCATGTCTTTGGCAGCCATAACATTGATTCGAAACACTTTCTTCCATAACTCAACCAATTATTTGACCATTTTCTTGTAGTTCTCTCCATGATATGCAAATTATGACCCAAATATTTCGTATGTTGCCGGGACAAATTGGCGTGCTCCAAACTGTCGAAGTCCCAAAAGTGAGGAATATCCGACTCCTCCCCATAGCCCAAGTAATATCATAGTGTATGAATCCCCACATCGGAAGAGAATGTCACTGTGGGTTAACCAATAAGCTCTCCAGGCAATATCTTGGTCCTGAAGATGTGTGAAGACTTTCATCCATTTTTCTTTTGAGGCATTTTCATGTCATTTCAGAGTGATGAATTCTCCCAAAGGTGAATAAGTGGTGTTGAATCGACGGTAGACAATCTCGTTAGTCTTCCAGAAATGATTGTGAATCCAGACTTGGAGAAGCTGAGCACACCCTATGAACCTTCCTCCACCAGTCTTTCTGCAGTGGTTGAGAGAGCGAAAGGTCTCAGCTAAAATTGTTGATGTTGGGTTTACTCGCCTTGAGAGTTGTTCAAACAATTTCACCACAGCTACATAAATGTATCCTAAAGTCCTTGGGAATATAATCAAATCATACAGACCTAGTGCGAAAAGATCTATTGTCTTCCATTCATCGGGATAGTTCTTCATCAGTTACTTGATATAAAGCCAAGCAATTCTTTCCCCGCTGACTTTATGTCGAGCCCGGTCAGTTACCCATTTTTCATCAACCCCTGCAACTTTGGCCAATCCGTTTTTGAAAAGCTGACTTTTGATGTGTTTGATGTAGGCCTGCTCCAGTCTGATGTTTTCGCAGTGTAGTAGTGTAGTATACTCTTCGATTGCGGGCACCATGTCCTCCTGGTTAAAGGTGAAACAACTGTATCCCGGGTTCCAGAATTTTACCAAGGCTCTAATTAGGGGGCTCACCCGTCCTGATATAGAGAAGGAGAGCGATATCACCATACCGTTGGATGAACTTCTATTTTTGGTCACTATTCCATCTATCCCAAATGCTTTGTAACTCTTGAACATCATTCTGCTTTAGGCTGACAGAAGTATAGCTAACCAGTTCTGACACATAGCTTCCTTGTAGACTGTCTCCCTTCTCTTTTTAAGATTTTTCGGATCATAGTCGTACCTCAGTGTTTTTTATCTCTTGCATTACAACCCCTTGTCCATTAATGCAGATTATTTGTGTAACTAACATCTTTTTATGGATCAATAACCTATTTTTATGATGCAAATGCTAGAAAGACAAACACGAAAACACAAAGTTAGTAAGAAAAAAAATATAAATGATGAAAGTAAAAAATAAATGAAAACAAATTGCATGATTAGGGTAAAAACATCCTAGGTTTTGAAATGGAATTTTAGGATAGACTCTAATTTCTTGTCGTCTCACGATTTAGGTTTTAAAAAAGGTACCGAGTTCTCCTTGCTGGTGCCCCCTTGGGCTTGCCAGACCCTTAGTCCTAAGCCCATTACAAGCTTGTGTGGACTAAGTTAAACTCGAGAGGATACATTCCCTTATGTCTGTGCGGTGAATAAATTCACACGAAGACATAAGGTATATGAATCCTGAAGGCTACTTGCTAGGCCTGTGCGGAGAATAAATTCTCACGAAGGCCTCACTTTCACCCCCACTTAAAAACGGGTTTGGAGCTCGGGTATAGAGCCTTAGATGAAAAAGCTTAAAAGGCTAAAATCATTTAAAGAAATCGTTAGTACAACTATTTATTTGAAAAGATAATCAAAAGTAAGTAATAAGGATCGAAAAAGTTACCTTAAAATTTAAAACTTACCATTTTCGTTGAAAAGACAACTGGAAATTAACCTTAGCCTGACTCACTTACCCGTCCCCAACAGAGTCGCCAAGTTGTCGCAGTCGTCTTTTGGTTGGGCCCGGAATTGGGCTTCGGCTTGAATGAAATGCTTAGAGTCGCCACCAATCATTTTAAAACATTTAGGTGGATACATTCCCTTATGTCTGTGCGGTGAATAAATTCACACGAAGACATAAGGTATATGAATCCTGAAGGCTACTTGCTAGGCCTGTGCGGAGAATAAATTCTCACGAAGGCCTCACTTTCACCCCCACTTAAAAACGGGTTTGGAGCTCGGGTATAGAGCCTTAGATGAAAAAGCTTAAAAGGCTAAAATCATTTAAAGAAATCGTTAGTACAACTATTTATTTGAAAAGATAATCAAAAGTAAGTAATAAGGATCGAAAAAGTTACCTTAAAATTTAAAACTTACCATTTTCGTTGAAAAGACAACTGGAAATTAACCTTAGCCTGACTCAGTTACCCGTCCCCAACAGAGTCGCCAAGTTGTCGCAGTCGTCTTTTGGTTGGGCCCGGAATTGGGCTTCGGCTTGAATGAAATGCTTAGAGTCGCCACAAATCATTTTAAAACATTTAGGTGGATACATTCCCTTATGTCTGTGCGGTGAATAAATTCACACGAAGACATAAGGTATATGAATCCTGAAGGCTACTTGCTAGGCCTGTGCGGAGAATAAATTCTCACGAAGGCCTCACTTTCACCCCCACTTAAAAACGGGTTTGGAGCTCGGGTATAGAGCCTTAGATGAAAAAGCTTAAAAGGCTAAAATCATTTAAAGAAATCGTTAGTACAACTATTTATTTGAAAAGATAATCAAAAGTAAGTAATAAGGATCGAAAAAGTTACCTTAAAATTTAAAACTTACCATTTTCGTTGAAAAGACAACTGGAAATTAACCTTAGTCTGACTCACTTACCCGTCCCCAACAGAGTCGCCAAGTTATCACAATCGTCTTTCGGTTGGGCCCGGAATTGGGCTTCGACTTGAATGAAATGCTTAGAGTCGCCACCAATCATTTTAAAACATTTAGGTGAATCAGACACCATCTTACATGATCTATGTTTTACCAAAAATATGTCGGATTCGAGAGTTGGTTACAGTCAAGGAAGAAATAACACCCTTGAACTGCCCTTTCGGTACTAATTAATTTCCAGTTGTCTTAATTAAGAAAATTGTAATTTAAATTAAAAGGTAAAATATGATCCAAATTACTTATCTCTGACGGATTTAAAAGTGTACCCTTAAGAAGTCAAGAAAAATGTTAGATAGAAAAAAATGATGAATCGAATTAAGTAACAATATGCATGTTGAGGAATTAAAGCAAATAAAATAAAAAAAATAAAGTGCTAGTATTAAAACACACAACAAATATATATAATACAAATATATGTATAATAAAATAATTTATACAATAGGATGAAAATTAGTATCCACACATATATATTAATATATGCCATATATTTGATACTTTTAGATTCATGTATATATATTGTTCGTTTTGAAGTTATTTTATTAGTTGTCATTATGAATTTATTTTTATTCGAATAGTTTTGAGAACGATATTTGCAGAATGGGTGTGGAAAACACCACTTGATCGAAGTGATTAATCCAATATAACATTCGAATCAAATATGAACTTGAAATAAATCAATTGTATTTTGTTAATTATTAATTCATTTCATTTTAAGTTGAACATTGCAATGAATGTCTCTAAATAATAATTTATTTCATTCCATGCAAATTCTTGATCTTCCTACATTTTTATTCGATTGATTTTTTTAGTTAATCAATTTATTTTGTTGTATGTAAACATCGATTTTTTATATTTGATTCGCATATTTATCGATGAGGGAATATTTTTTACGGATAAAAAATAGACGAGATAGCTTTTCCGATGGAGTATTGCTAATATCGAAGTTTCTTTTTAAGTTAAAGAATTTTCCCTAATTAAATAATTTGAGGCGAATTAATTAAATCTCAATAAACGGATCATATGTTAACTTTATATTTGATTCATCATTTCCACCATTTATGACAATGTGTAAACGACACAGTACTAATTTTGGGCGCTGTTGGGTATTAATCATTCCCCACGCATAACATACTCCGGGACCCTTATAATTGAATTTTTGGTAAACGTATACAAACTTTTTGTCTTAAAATCTATTTTTCTTAAAATTATTTTTAAAAGACGTTTTTAGGTATTCGACCTACCTAACCCAAAGGTCGATGGCAACTCCTATCTAATTTAATTCGAATCAATTCATAAATCCCTAATTTTTAAAATTAAAATCATAATTGTTTTTTAAAATATTACTATAATTGTTTTTTTAAATGGTTATGACATTGTAGTTTTTATTTCCATATGAATTTAAGGATAAAGCCCAGATAATTTGGTTTATGCGTAGTTTTTATTTTCATATGTTATGTGACATATTTTAATTGATCCAACGTTTTAGAATCGTATATGGATTAAACTAATAAAATTATATTGTAAGGTATAATATAATAAAATGAATATATCAGAAAGGCCAACATGGAAAAAAATTAGTGTGTAAAGTTAAAAAACGGATATACTTAAGGGCTAATATGCGTATTAAGCCTTTACTTTTCAGTATTGTAAGTTTTAACAAAAAGAAGAAGAAAAAATGACATTTTCAGATTAAACCAGCAATCGAGAAGTGTTTTAGCATGGCGTTTCATTTCTGGCGACTCCCCAGATGGAGTTTGGGTTTTAACAGTGGCAGGTACCATTCGCCCCACTTTAGCTCATTCCTTTCTTCATTCCGATTTTCAACTATTAATTCTCTTTCCGATTCCTCAACAAATGAACCGTCACTAAATCAAACACACAACCGTTGTAATTTCGACGAGCATCACGTCCTTAGTGAACTATCCGATTTGTTTCAACTTTCTCATATTAAAACGACTATTCCATACCCGTACAAGGAGAGTTATCCGGTGAAACAAATGGAAAGTAGAGATGTTGGTGAATTTTTATTGCCCGAGGAGAAATTGCGAGGGGTTTTTCTTCAAAAATTGAAGGGTAGAACTGCAATCGAACACGCATTGTCAAATGTTAGAGTGGAATTGAACATCGATATTATCGCTAAGGTCGTAGATAGAGGGAATTTAAGCGGTGAAGCTATGGTTTTGTTTTTCAATTGGGCAATTAAACAGCCAGAGATACCAAGAGACGCTCACAGTTACTACATAATCATTAGAGCTTTAGGTAGAAAAAAATTCTTCAATTTCATGATTCAAATCCTGAATGATATGGTGAAAGATGGCATCAAGCCTAATATGGAGACCGTTTTAGCTGTAATGGATAGTTTCATTAGGGCTCGGCGAGTGCATAAAGCTCTGGAAACTTTTGAGAACTTAGAAGAGTTCGGATTGAAGCCTGATACCGAGTCTTTGAATATGCTTTTACAATGTTTGTGCCGAAGAAATCATATAGGTGCTGCAAATTCTTTTTTCAATGCAGTGAGTGGGAAGATGAAGTTTAATCTTGTGACATATAATATCATGATAAGTGGGTGGTCAAAATTAGGTAGAGTTAGAGAAATGGAGAGGATGGTGGAAGGAATGATAACAGATGAATTTACTCCAGATTGTTCAACTTTCTGTTACCTTATTGAGGGTTTAGGAAGAGCAGGACAGATTGATGATGCCATTGAGATTTTTGATCATATGAAGGAGGAAGGTTGCATTCCAGACACTGGAGTGTACAATGCAATGATTTCTAATTTTATTTGTTTTGAGAATTTTGATGAATGTATGAAATATTACAAGGAGTTGCTGGAAAGTAACTTCGACCCTGATTTGGATACTTACTCAAAACTGATATCCGGTTTTCTCAAATCTAAAAAAGTGGCTGATGCTCTTGAAATTTTTGAAGAGATGTTAGCTCAAGGGATTGTCCCCCCTACGGGGTTTATAACTTCTTCCATTGAACCTTTATGCAGTTATGGTCCACCTCACGCTGCTGTGATGATCTATAAGAAAGCAAGAAAATTTGGCTGCAAAATATCGCTTACTGCCTATAAGTTATTGCTCAAGCGACTATCTACATTTGGTAAAAGTGGAATGCTGTTAAATTTATGGGATGAGATGCAAGAAAGTGGTCATTCTTCTGATATGGAAGTTTATGAGCACGTCATTAGTGGACTTTGCAACATAGGGCAACTTGAAAATGCTGTCCTTGTTATGGAAGAGGCATTGCGCAAGGGGTTTTGCCCTGGCAGGATTATATGTAGCAAATTGAATAACAAATTGCTTGCTGCAAATGAAGTAGATAAGGCTTACAAGCTATTTTTGAAGATTAAAGTTGCTCGCCGCAATGACAATGCTCAGAGATATTGGCGTTCTAATGGCTGGCATTTTTGAGTCGGCATGTGAATGTATGATTTGGGCAAGTATAGTTTGCCTTTGTACTTTGTCTATTTCATTAAACTAGCTTGTATTATTATCGATGTAGTTATTTTAGTGGTATTCTCAGAATCTGTATCTAAGGTTTTTTTTCCTAGTAAGAACACACCACATTATACCGTTCAAGAAAAAAAGAACGCACCACATATTATCATTGGAAAGAGTAAACTTTGGCTTTTCATTCACCTTCTATCTCTACTTGGTAAGAACAGTTTACTTCTCATTTTGTTGCATTTTCACTCTTGATTACACCTTCAATGTGACAGTGTTGATGCGTATACAGCAGGAATAATTGCTTTTGGTGACACTATCTGCTGATTCTTGCTGCATCACATCATCGAGTTTCTAAGAAGAGGATGTTTATACAACGAGGATATACCTTTATTGCTTTATCGTATTGTATGCAGTCTTTGTGAATTTATGGGTTCCATAAATCATTGGCATTATGAATGTCTTGTTACCAGGGAGGATTGCATTTCATATGTTGACCAAGTTGGCTGCATGCCAGGTCTGTCTTCAGACCCTGAATTTGGTGAACTGTAAACTGGGTCATTTTGTATGTGCTGTATGAGTTTATTTGCATTACTAGAGTACTCAGTTTTTTGTCAACATGTAATATTTCATTTTATTCTTTTAGTATTGAATGATTGTTCAATGTTCACAGTAGGATATATGTTTCCTGCTTAATTCTTATGGATAAGATGTTGATACCTGTTCTGATCATGCATGTGTCTCCATTCATGTATTCGTATAGCCTGCCAGTGCCTTTATTGATTGTTACATATATCTTTTGGTAAAGGGTTATAACATCTGAATTTTAATAGAACATGACTAACTTGTGGAAACTTGAAACAGAACATTATACTTATTCAAGGCAGGGCATAGAGAGATGATTTGCTGTCGTAATTCTTGAATTTCTTAAATAGAGCATGATGGGCTAGTTGAACCAGAAAGATATGTGTATGTATCAGGGAATTGAGGAGCTTCTAGTATAAATGTATAACAAAGTTGAAAACCGATTGTGAAGTGAGATGTAGGTTATGCCATAAAGAAAAAAGAAAGAGAAATGGGTAATCGGAACTCTCAATTTAGATAGGGGCGGTGAGTTGATGAACTTATCAGGATTTGGCGATGAGCTCACTGTCAATGTGAAAAATGTGTCACTCTCTGATAGGAAAAGCTACTCCAGATGGTAGCTTATTCTCTGATTCCTTTACCTATCTGGATGAAAAACTGGTAATCTCTTCACTGCTGGTGAACATGCATCAAGAGTGAGTCTGAACCTCTTGAAGCATTTTTTTCTGTTTTCAGCATCTTGACATCTTGATAAGTTACAACATCAACGTTAGAATTGATGGAAGGGACATTCCGCACTGAGGAAGGAAAGAGAGTTTCAACAAATATCACATGCCGAGATAAAAAAATTTACCACTATCATCCATATACTTGGGTCGCAATCGTCTTTCGGTTGTGCCCCGGAATTGGACTTCGACTTGAAAAATGTGGATTTGAGTCGCCACCGATCATTTATTTAAAGATAAATGGGTTGATCGAATACCCTATTTCTTACCTGATCTGCATCTTACCAGAAATATGTCGAGCTCGGGAGTCGGTTACGGTCAAGGAAGGATTAGCACCCTTGAACCGCCCTTTCGGTACTACGTAATTTCCAGTTGTCTTTATCAAGAAAGTTGTAATTTTAAATTAAAAGGTAAAATTTGATCCAAACTACTTACCTTTGATAGTTTGCGGAAATACCCTTAAAAAGTCGTGAAAATAACATTAGGGGAAACGGTGAGGAGAACAAATAAAAATGAAGACAATAAGATAAATAAGGAAAACGAAACGCATAATCAAGAGAAAGATTAAAGATAAAAAATAAATGGCATAATTAAAACGAATACAACAAAAAATGACAGAAATAAAAACAGAGGCAAATATATAAAAAGTAAAATAATATAAAATAAAGGGGAAGAAAAAAAAATAAAAAGTAAAAGGGGGAAATAAATAAAATAAAAATGGAATAAATAATTAATGAATGAAACGAGAAATATATATATTAAAGTATTAGAAAGGAAAAATATCAATAATAGGTAAAATGAATATATATATATATATACATACATAAATACATAAAATAAAATGTTAATAGAAATATAATTATAAGATAAAATGAGTAAGGTTGGTAAATAATAATAAAAATACATATATAACATATAAAATTATAAGACGTAGTAGCTAGATAAAGAAATGACCAAAAAGTTAATTAAAAATAATATATATGTATTAATAATAGGTATATAGATGAAATATATAGAAAATACGTATATATATATATATATAATTACATAATATGAAATAAATAAAAGGGTCAGTATAAGTATTAAATTGAATCAAAAACAAGTTGGGTGGCTAAATTGAAAGAAAAACAGAATTAAAGATCGATTTATAGTGAAATTGGGGTCAAAATAGAAGTTTCCGAAATGATGGGGACCAAAACAGAGTTCCCCCATTTTCGCGTGAAAACACGCGGATCTGTTAAGCAGTGGGTCGGGTCGGCTGGCTTCACGGGTCGCATATTTAAGCCAATGTTTTGGCTTTGTTTTCATTTCCTTCCTTCTCCAAACCGAACCCCTCTCTTCTTCTCTCCCTTTTCTCTGGCTTGTTCTTGAGTTTCAAGAACAGGCCACCGTGGTTCTTCAAGAACCCAGTATCCGACCACCGCATGTCGCCTCGTCGGCCACCGCGAACGGCGCTGGCCGCGGTCATCGGCGGCGAAAATGAAAAAGCTTTTGTTTTTTTGAAAGGTCTTCTTGCGTAGGTTACAAAAATCCAACTAGTTTTTTAAAACGGGCCTCGGGGTCGCGTAGATCTAGCAAAATAGCTTCGAAAGCAACCCCCTTGGTCCTCGGCCAAAACGTTTTTTGTTGTTTAGAATCAAACCAGAGTGAAGGAAATACATACATACAAAGTAAACAAGAAAGGTACGAAACTTTTACCCTTTATTTTGCTACGAAACGATTACAAAATGTCGATCTCTGAAGTTACTTTGCTTATATTTCACTAATGAACCCTCGTAATGTTTGTATGTGCGGGCTGTCGTGATGATCTCGTGTGTTCGTCCAGTGTAAAAAAAAAAGATCCCTCTGAGTGTTCTAGTTACATGTATTTATACAAGCCTACTTTAGAGTTTTAATCCGAGTAAAACTCGGTTTGGTTGTTGAAGCCCTAAACTAACACGTTGCCTTGCTTGTTGTTGGCGGTTGGCTTCGTGTGCTGATGGTTGTTTGACATTGAGGAGTTCAAGGCGCCGAGATAACCGGGAATGAGTGCCGATGAGACGTGAGACATGGGACTCTCGCATGGGGACAGTTACGGCGTTGGCTGGAACTTGCTAGGGTTCCTGGAAACCTTTGCTTGCTGGGTCACGAGCTTGTTGGGCCATTGTTGGGCCCGAAAACAAATGTAAATGTTGTTTTAATAAAACGAAAATAATTTATATATATGTAATATATATATATATATATATATATATATATATATATATATATATATATATATATATATATATATATATAGTGTGTCTACAACTTGTAACCCGTGTTTTGAGCTATATCCAAGGAAAATACATTGTTTTGATTGAAAATTTAACTTGTCGCAGTTGAAAGGTCATAAATAATGATAGCAAGCACGTCCAAACACTCGTAGTACTGTATAGTCTGGTTTCCGGTACATCCTATCGTATGGTGTATACCCTTGCAGCACTTGATTAGATTACCTGTTTATAGTAAGCACAGCAGTGACAAAAGCATAACTCCAGTTCCTTAAAGATAAACCTGCTTGAGCAAGCAAAGTAAGTCCCATGTGACGATGTTTTCTTTCTGCCTTTATGTTTTGTTCCGATGTTCTTGGGCAGGAAACCCAATGCTGAATACCATTCTTAGCTAACCAAGCGTCAAGAGGACGACACTTGATTCCCCCATCTGTCTATAGTGCTTTGATGTTGCACCCAAACTGTACCTCAACCATCTTGTGAAAATTTTAAAAACACTGCAAGACTCGAGTTTTGGTCCTTAGCAAATAAATCCAAGCAAACCTACAAAAAAAAAAATCAATAAAGGATACATGGTATGGAAAAACACCAGATACAAGTGAGGCTGGTCCCCACACATAAGAGACAACAAGTTGAAAAGGAGCATTATATTCAGTTGTGGACAAGGAAAAGGGCAACTTATGGGCTTTTCCCTGTGAGCAAGCTGAACACAATTGACACTCTATTATCATGAACAGTTATATTACATGACTGAAGGGCAGTCTTAAGAACATTTATTGAAGGATGTCCTATACACTTGTGCCAAATCTCAAGACTATCAAGTGATTTGGCCACACTACAGACACAGTGCGCTCATCATTATGAACCGGAGACGTCAACCTGTAAAGTCCTTCAGGGGTGAGTATCCCTTTCAGCATAACTTTCTTGGTCTGAAAATCTTTCACAAAACACCCGTTAAGATGAAGTTCAAAAAACACAAGTTTTTCCAAATGTCAGGAACATGCAATAAGTTAGGAAGAAACAAAGGTTTTGAAGGGGTGAGCAATGAACCTTGACCAACTCAAGTAATTGCAATTCCATCCCCATTACCCATGAGAATAGAGTCATTGCCCGTATAAGCAATGTCCTCGTGGAATGCAGAACTGCCATTTGTGATTTGATGAGTTGCTCCTGAATCAGGAACATTCTTGCGATTTGATTGAGCCGACTACTTCATATTCCATTTGCGGGAGAGAATACTACGAGTACTCTTGGCCGTCTAGTGTTACTTATATGGCTTTTTATGGTTTTAATAACCAACTCCAGTTACTCTGCAAGTCTGACATCAATCCTCACAGTGGAACATTTATCAAGTAATTTTTTTATGAGCGTTATCCAAGGGAGGAACTCAACATATCTAGATCTAGGCTTGTTCGTCTTGGATCACCTGAAGAATATGCTTTGGCCATTGAACGTGGTCCTGGAAATGGAGGTGTTGCTGCTGTAGTTGATGAACGTCCATATGTCGAGCTTTTTCTTTCGAGCCAGTGCAAATTCAGGATCGTCAGTCAAGAATTTACCAAAAGTGGCTGAGGTTTCATGAGCGTTTTTTTCCTATCATTGTGAGAAGTTATCATGATTCATAAGGATTGTTATAACATCACATGCATTTAAGCATTATTGACCAATTTTTGTCGTTCACGATGGCTGCAGAGGATTTTGTCACTATTGGATGAGAAATAAAACCAGTAAAAAAGTGGTCAAAAGAGAAAGAGAGTAGACAGCAGTAGGGATGAAGAGTTGGGGAGTTCACCCAAGAGGAGGAAAAGGAACAATAGCAATACGAATGTAAACTCGAGCACTGTATTCAATCCAAGATTATAGCGGCTTTTTTTACATATATATATATATAGCTTCAAGCATTCAAATATTATTGGATGATTCTCTTCATATCACTCTGCCGTCAATACAAAATGAGAAAAATGATAACATGAACATTGGAAAACCTTGACCGCTAGCTATACCACCAGCATGGAAAACAAATTCTAAAAAGGAAAATGAAATTGCAATCATTTAAACCTCGTAAACTTTGCATTCCTCATCAGCTGGGTTTGTCCAGCTCCAGGTATGCCTGGCCACTTGCTTGCCAGCAAGTGTGCTAAATCAACCTCCCTTTGGCTGGAAATCACAAATATCAATATCATAGTAACAGTTACTAGTGTATAAGTGCAAATACAAAAGATTAATAAAGTTTGATTCCTTGCTTTAAACTTACCTGTAACCCCATTCGCTGTCATACCAGGCCACCACCTTGACCATGTCATCTCCCATGACCATGGTCAATGTAGAGTCGATGGTGGAGGAAACATCAGAGCACCTAAAGTCCACCGAGACAAGAGGAACATCACAAAGGTCCAATACTCCCTTTAATGGCCCCTCTGCGCCTTTCTGAATGCAGCGTTCACATCTTCAGCTGTGATACCCTTCTTTTCAACGTTCACAACCAGGTCAACAACTGATACGTTAGGTGTTGGCACACGAAGTGCGATGCCGTTGAGCTTGCCCTTGAGTTGAGGAAGCACGAGAGAGACAGCTTTGGCAGCATCTGTACTTGTTGGTACAATGTTCAATGCTGCAGCCCTGGCTCTTCTCAAGTCACGTTGTGAAACATCTAAGAGCCTCTGGACAATCTCAACCAAAAACTTCAGTGTTCTTCTTTGCCAAAGCAATTAATTATTAAGACGAATAATATATCATGAAACCTAATTGTTGAGTTCATCAGTAGACTGCAGAGCATTTGATTAAACAGTACCTGGTCTCCGGTGTAAGAGTGGGTGGTTGTCATTGTACCCTTGACAATGCCTGGTAAAGTGAAAGAAGATTAGAAAATCTTACAGCTGTTATCTCAGGGAATTAACCTAAACAACTGAAAAGGTCCATCTCCCAAAGTTTAGGCTATGAAGTTTATACGTAGAGAGCAATGCTTACCAAAATCTTCATCTATGACTTTAACAAAAGGAGCCAAGCAATTCGAGGTGCATGAAGCATTGCTGCAAGCACAAAATTGCAATCAAATTCTAAGCCACTAGAACAATAAAGTAACGAAGAACGATTATCATGATCGCTTTATTAGCTGGCAACTCTTCATTCAAAACTGACCTTATGATGTTCACGACCTCGTGGCTTAATCTCCTTCATTGACTCCGACAACGTAGGTCGGAATGTCTGCACCTTTAGCAGGCGCTGTTATGATAATTTTCTTGGCACCAGCTTGTATGTGCTTCCCAGCTCCAGGGCCATCTACAAAGACTCCTGTTCCCTGTAAGATACATGTCAAGCTGTTCTATCATCTATCAATAGAGGTATAAATTTATGGCATATCCATAATATGAAATTTGTGTTGGTCAGTAATCAGGATACTTGTATTTTTTGCCTCGAGGACACATTAATTCCGACACTAAGCGAAAGGACCTATCTTGATGACGATGTCAATGCCGAGTTCAGCCGACGGAAGCTGGAGAGGGTCCCTGTTAGAGACAACCTTGACAGGCTTACCATCAACACTGATAGTTTCATTGTCAACTATTTTCACATCAGCTTTGAAAGTTCCCAGCATTGAATCATACTTCAGCAAGTGTGAAGCCTGTGTTTTTCATTTTGTTGTAGATCGTGGTTAATAAATGAAACTAACCAAATTCCATACGTTAACTCTTACAAAGCATGGCAAGTCATGGTTTCTTACATTCACATCACACCACCACTGTCATTTACAACAACCACGTCTAGGGCTGAGTTATTCCGGCCATGCCAACACCGGAGAAAGTTCCTGCCAATGCGTTTTAATCCATTGATTGCAACCTTCAATTTGGCGATTGTTTCGGCCCTAACAGGAGTTTCTCCTACTCCTACAGTCTAAATTCCAAAATAGTTTCAAGTGATCAGTGCCATATACCTAGGACTTAAGAGCAAGGTTCTTTGCAGATAGATAATTTTAGTTTTCATGTTGGTTATCTAATGAAATCCTTAACTTGTCTGTAACCCTGAATACTATCCCATGAAACATTGAAACTCAGAAATCAAATTCTTGAAACAGTGAATGAACCTTTGGAGTAAATTGAGCAGCAACCACATAGAAAAAGGATGCATCTCTGGCATTGTTGACGAAGGTAACACATGAACCGGATCGAAGTCTGGAGAATTCAACAACTTGTAGTCTCTTTATCTCCAAGTCAAAGGTTTCCCGGCAGCAACTTTTCTACTGTACTTTCTAGAAGCATTACCAAAAGTGTCCCGTCCATTAGTTGATCCATCATCATACAATAGAGATTGAAAGGGGAGAAGGAATCCCATCCTAGATAGATGCCCTCTACTACTCTCTTAATATATGATTTTCTATTGTTATCCAAACATATTTTTTTAGGATTGACACATGTATATTAATAACATAAATTTCTCGTATGAAATAAAGATAAATAAAATTTATGGGTTGATACATTTAGTAAAATAAATTACTAATATAAAGAAATTCGAATTTCAAGATAGACACATATCCACCCTAGATGAAACCTACATCCGCCACTGGTTATTGGGATGAACCGTTGATAGAAAACGGAGATGCAGAATCGTATAGTAGTTTGGGCACTGAATATATTGCAAACATATTATGTCCTTTTCCAATCTTTGTTGAGACCATCCTTTGTTTGATTGATGATACGAAAGAAAAACACCAAGCATGTCCGTGTGGGTCAATCTTTTGTTTTGATTTCGCCAAACCCCAAATACAGACAAACAAGTGAAGCACCGGCAATAAACGGAAAACAATGGGCATGCACGTTAATCTTCCGTCCTTTGCACGTGGAATCAAAGTTCAAGCCACATATCTGCTAGTTATAACTCCAAAAGATGTCGAGTTCAGAATCCCACTTCCTATTTTCTGATTTAATTAAATTAATTACACCTATATTGTATGTACTCTAAGGTAGTGTTTGTTTTTGCAGAGGTAAAAGGTCTGCATTCTGTGGACTACATCTGCAGGCATCTGCAGCAGAAGAGGTGGACCAAAAGTATGCAGTCTGCAGGAAGAAGACTATTTGTTTTTTAACGTCTGCAGACTGCTAAAATGAACTAAAATATAAATAAACTGATTTTTTAAACTTAAAAGAGTTTTGAAATACTGAGATTTAAATAATTTTAGTTTTACAATACTGAAATTTAAATAATTCATACAACTACAATAATAAATTATTTAAAATAAATCAATCCATATTTAAAAAAAATCAATTCATACTAATAATTTATTTAAAATAAATCAATCTATACAACTACAATAATAAATCAATCTATATTTTAAAATAAATCAATCAATACTAATAAATTATTTAAAATAAATCAATCTATACAACTACAATAATAAATCAATCCATATTTTAAAATAAATCAATCTATACAAATAAATTATTTAAAATAAATCAATCTATACTAATAAATTATTTAAAATAAATCAATCCATATTTTAAAATAAATCAATTCATATTTTAAAATAAATCAATCCATACTAATAAATTATTTAAAATAAATCAATCCATATTTTAAAATAAATCAATCCATACAAATAAATTATTTAAAATAAACCAATCCATACTAATAAATTATTTAAAATAAATCAATCCATATTTTAAAATAAATCAATCCATATTAATAAATTATTTAAAATAAATCAATCTATATTTTAAAATAAATCAATTCATACTAATAAATTATTTAAAATAAATCAATTGATACAACTACAATAATAAATCAATCCATATTTTAAAATAAATCAATCTATACTAATAAATTATTTAAAATAAATCAATCCATATTTTAAAATAAATCAATTCATACTAATAAATTATTTAAAATAAATTAATTCATACTAATAAAATTAAGTATGCACCCAAAAAAAACTCACACAGACATTTAAAGAATTTATGTCTTCTAAAATACAAACAGTCTGCCATCACTAATACGCGTGGTCCGCGACGCAGACATAAATGAAGAGCTTGCGAAAACAAACCACCTAAGTCTACCCATTTTCCTCTCTTCTTCAACTTCAAGGTTCCCTCTCTCCCTCTCTCTCCGATCGGTGTGCATTTAGTCCATTCTACAAACCCTAAAAACGAAAATTAACTCTATGCCTCTCCTTTAAATTAGTTTACTGCTACTGGGTCTAGTTTGAGCCCCTTCTTCCTTTTGTTTTTGTTTGTTTTGTTTCGAGTTAATGGGATGCAACGATTTTGATGCCAAGAATATAAAAGGAACCAGACCAATTCTGAAGCAAACGTCTTTGGGATTTTGCTTTAAGTGTTTGCAAACTGGGTTTTTTCAAATGTGGAGGTGAATAAGGAGTTTTAGAGCAGTTGTTTAACAATGGTGAGGCGTCACGGATGGCAACTTCCGGCTCATACATTTCAGGTTTATTTTTTTTCTTTGTTTCTATTACATCAGCTGCTTATTTTAGTAAATTAATACTTTGAACGAAATTTTCAGTCACCGCCTGATTCTTTTAGTCCCATTTATGTATATTATTGTCTTTAGCGATGAGTAGTTTTTTTTTAATCTCTTTTGCATTTGTTATTTCTTTCTATATTTACAACTTACAAGGGGATTATTTTATATATGTATACTGTATAAATTATGAATACGGGTTACTGGAGTTTTATTTCTTGTGATGTATATTGATTTTGTGGGTTGTTATCGACTTTATGATTGATTTTTAATGAACTAAGCGCCATGTTTATGAGATGTTTGTGTGAGTTTCTTTTATTTGATCCTATTTACATTAAGAAAATAATCCTACTTGGGGAAATTTTCATCCACATGGAGTATGCATAGTTGGTCAAATTAATGCATCTCTTTGCTTTTGGAAGTATAAAAGAAAGTTGAAATTTTATATGCTATTAAAATTCTAATTTTAGTTTATAAAGTCATTATCGTTCATTCTCTGGTTACCTAGTTATTTCATTGCAATGGGACGCCTAATTTTGATGAGCATGTAAAGTAATTACTAAGACTACCAATATCATAAAGCAATATGAAACCTGGTAATGATTTTAGATGAAGTCGTAATATTCCATGAAGCCATATATGGCAGGCTTGGTGTTAAACATGGTGGTTTTTTGTTTCCTAAATAATCATTACATATTGCTGGCTTATGTTCTTGTGATAAATTTCTTGCATGTTTCATTTCAACAACCACTCATTATACCTTTTTTCCCCTTTCTAAATGGTGGACAGGTTGTGGCCATTACCATTTTCTTTTTGCTATCGGTTGCATATTATGCCTTCTTTGCTCCCTTTCTTGGAAAAGATATCTATGAATATGTGGCTATTGGTGTCTACTCTATCATGGTAACCACAATAACCTTTTTTTTAAGGCTTAAAAGTTCTTTAATTGCTTTCCTAATTATTATCTTAATGCTTGATTTTAATTTTCAGGCACTCTCTGTTCTTATCCTGTATGTTCGATGCACTGCTATTGATCCTTGTGATCCTGGAATTATCCTTGAAGCTGACAAGGCATCAGCTTGTAAATCACACAATGAAATGGATCTGCCAGGTAACCTTTTGATTATTTTTTATGCATGGTTCTGTTATAGATTGCATGATAATTGTGAACTTAATTGGATGATAGTCAGAATTGTCATTTGAAAATTGTTTAATAGCTGCCTGTATTAAGATATGAGCTTCTCTGTAGACTGTAGTCTATTGTTCGTCTCAATTAACCATAGATTTCCTGTTGTTTTAACCAGGGAATGCATCTTCTATCAAAGAACCTTGCACGATAGGATTAAAGTATGGAAGTGAATATAGTAGGCATAATAATTCACGATGGTGTTCCAAACTTGGAGGTTTCTTTTGTTCTTGCATCGTACAAGAAGATTGCTGCAAAGATGAAGGCCTTTTGCAGCAACAATCTGGAGAAGAAGATGCTTTATTCTGCACATTGTGTAATGCAGAAGTAAGGTTCACACTACTAGGATAGTGCTCTCCCTACTCCTGAGCCACTCCCCCCCCCCCCCGAAGGAAAAAAACTTTTGTTTCCTCTCACTGTTTTCTCTCTTTTCAATAAAAAACAAGAAAAGAGAAAGAAAATGAAAGCTATAAAATTAGCAACAGGAAAATCCCATGCTTAGACACAAAATGTTTCTTGATATAGCTTTCACTTCTTATATATGAAAAAGAAATTCCCCTTTACGTTCTGCTCATTTACTTGTATCTAGATAGACACCACCATGCTTTTCAAGCAAGAATATCCTGAGGGTTGTATTCATACTAATTCTTAAGAATTGACATGCTAATGAAACAACTGTCTTGCATATATTTTGCTTTATCTGGAAGAAGCTTGTTTCTGATTGCATGTTTTTGAGTTATAATAACTCTCCGTGCCCTTCCAACTCACCTTTTGCAGGTGCGCAAATTCAGCAAGCATTGTAGAAGTTGTGAAAAATGTGTTGATGGATTTGATCATCATTGTCGAGTGAGTTATCAAATATTCATCTTTATCCATTTCATAATTTTCTTGGGTAAATTTCTTGGTTTTTAAGAACTACCATCGAGAATTGAATAGCTTGAACGTTTAAGTTATGTTACTGGACTGGAAAGCACATAGGGCTTCTGGTTGACTAATTATAGTTCCTTGGCCATGTGTTTTGAAAACAATCCTGCCTTTTTGTACTGATTTAGAACTTCATGTAGTCTTGGCGATGACTAAACTGTTTTATCATTTTATCCAGTGGTTGAATAATTGCGTGGGCAGGAAAAATTACATCAGTTTTGTGTGCTTGATGGCAGCTAGCCTTGTTTGGGTAAGTTCTTAGGATAACTTTTGGACAATGGTTCACATCACTCGTTGGCATCTCTTGACAAGAACCGAACTTATTTTCATGTGCCTTCATGTATGCATGTATGTGGTTGTCAGCTTATTGTTGAATTTGGAGTTGGCATTGCTGTCTTTGTGCGATGTTTTACTGATAGAAAAGGTACAGAAAGTGATATAACCGAGAAGCTTGGAGTTGGATTCTCTCGCCCCCCCTTTGCTACTGTGGTGGTATGTTCTCTGCATTCTCTTCATAAGAGCTCAGATTGTTTCTGTAGTATTGCTATGCTTGTGAGAGAGCACCTTGATTGATCGAGAAGATTTAGCATTGTTGACTTAGTCATTTTCCTGGACAAAATATGCTTGATCGTAGAATATTTGCATTTTTTTATTTTCTCGTTTAGGATCTATTTTGCGAGCTCTAGAAAGTTGATTTTAACTTAAACCTCTGATTTCCATGGGTATTGAAAAGCAAAAATCCTAGTTCTAAAATGTCAATTTTGTGGTTGGTGTTTCAAAATGTTCTATAATTATATATGCTTGTTTGATTGTTTCCCTGAGACTGGTTGAAATACATAACCGCTAGTGTTCACTTCTATAAGAATGAAAACCTCGGTTGTGATGGGTTTTGGCTAACATTATACAAATGATCACAGGCCCTCTGCACAGCTGTTTGTTTTCTTGCAATTGTGCCTCTGGGAGAACTGTTCTTTTTCCATATAATTTTGATCAGAAAGGTGTTTCTTTATATCTCCCCCTCTCTCCATCTCTCTTATACTGTCTTAATATGTAAATATTGAACCATTGTCATTTCTAACTGCAGGGTATCACAACATATGAATATGTTGTTGCAATGAGAGCACAAAGTGAACCACCTGGACAGTCTGCGGATGGTGAAGATCAGCAGAGTATGCCGTCGTCACCGACCAGTTCAGCTGTGACTGCCATAAGTGGAAGAAGCTCTCTTGGAAGGAGCTTGCAATACAAAGGTGCTTGGTGTACCCCACCTAGAATCTTCATGGACCAACAGGTACCACTTCCTTACCTACTAAACATGAAAACTCTGTCATTTTATGTTTATGATGGTGTTTGCTATCAAAAATGAATAATGTATGTTGCATGCAAATTGTGGCTACAGTACAAATATGAATTTAAGATGGCTACAATCTCTAAGGGTGATCATCTGTCATGGATTTTCTGTTATACAGTAAAAGTGATAACTGATTGTTTGTTTCTCACAAAGGATGAAATAATCCCACATTTGGACCCGCGTCGCTTACCATCCACAGTAGATCCGGATGCTGTACAGCCACCAGACAAGGGTAAAAGATTGCCTCAACATCCTGTCCGAATAAGTGCATGGAAACTTGCTAAATTGGACTCTAATGAGGCGGTTAAAGCAGCTGCCAAAGCTAGAGCAACCTCATCCGTCCTTCGTCCTGTAGGCCCTAGGCATCATCCATACAGTGTTGATCAACTGTCTAGTAGTAACATCAGTGGAAGAAGCAGTCCCATCAGTACTGATCATGGGTTTCAGATAAAAAATGCTAGACCAGGGACATTGAGCTCATATCCTTCAAGTCATGCTAGCAGAGAAGACGCTGAATCATGTGCTCTCAGCATTGGCGACATGAGCAGCCATCTTTCCAGCATAACCCCCTCTCCAATGGCACAGCAACATTCAAATAGAGAACATTTCAACCCCATGTATGGAACGTCAGTCAATCAATCTCCTTTGTCAACAAAACAAAGTGAAGGGATTGAACATGCAGCTGAACATCCTATCAGAAAAAATTCTAGTGCAATAGAAAGCCCCAGAACCTCAGTTTTTTGGGATCCAGAAGCAGGGCGCTTCGTCTCTTCCTCGTCCAGAAATGCGAGCCCTTTGCATGCACCTAGATCAGAGCTTTTGTATAGTGGTCAATCAATATTTTTTGGTCCTCCTATGAATGAACAAGTTAACAGAGGAATGAGGAGTACTAGTTCATTGTTACACGGGTTGGATAGAGGTTCTGCACCGAGTCATCATCTTCATCAGCAGCAGGGTAGATCACAGAGAGGTGGCCAGCTCCCCGTGTTTGTTCCTAGTGATTATCATTCTCTAGAAAAGCAATTTCCGTCTAGGTTGCCAATGCCATGAGCACCAAAAAAAGAGATGCTTATCCTTCATTTGATTTGAATTTTACTTTCTTCTGCGGCTTGTTAATATCTGCTGCAGGGTGTAGGTTCCAGCTTTTTAAGGTAATTAGTTGTCAGTCAATTCAGGGCACGTTTTCTTTCAGAGAAAACCGAAATGAATTAGCTTACAAAAATCATACAGTTGGTTAGCAATGCATTTTCAAGTTATCCCCCAGGGGATTTCTGCTATTCAATTATATGAATTACGACTTAATCTAACCATTATTTACTTTTTGATAATGACATGAGAAGAATCTGTAAGAATAATGTTCTACTGCAGTAGTTGGTGAAAATGAAATATAGCATTCATTTATATGAATGTTTAGGTTGTCACTTCACTGCTCGTTGCTTTCGAAATGGGCTTTAGGAGTTGGTGTGTTCTTTTCCCTAATATATAGTATAATGGACGGCTTAGAGTTTTCCCACTTGATATATATAATGAACGGCTTAGAGTTTTCCCACGTGAAATTATCCTATCTAAATTATTCATTTTTGTTTAAAAATAATAAATATATATTTATATTTGTATTTATATTTATATATTTTATAATTAAATTTGAAATAAGTATATAATTTTAAAATTTTATTCGAACTGAGTTGAATGAATAATTTGATCTATAAATATGTCTAATTAAGAAGGATTAAGTTAGTAAAATAAAAAAATAGGAATAAAACTATTAAAAATATAACATTCTAAATATAATATGAATGAATGTTACATTACCTAAAAAATAAAAGTAATGATTACTCCCTATATTTACAAATAATATTACAGTGGTTAATATTATATTATCACCACCAACGGTTTGGTTCAAGTGATAAGGAATTTGATATAATTTAAGCATATGTTGAGTTTGAGATCTTGTATATACAGAGAATCTTTACTGAGAAAGTCACCCACCAAAATTAAATGCGCGGCATATATCAATTTAATTTAATCAATGCAAAGTTTTAGAGAACCGAGAAGATAACCAAAAGAATAATATATTATCACCAATGAATATGATTAAATATTTATCCTTTTTTAAAATATAAAATGATAAAAAATATTAATATATTCTTTTATTTCCAACTCAAGCAACAGTTTAAAATATAACTATTATATCAATATAAAATAATTTTAAACAATCATTATTTAGATATAATTAAACGTTATTTTAAATATATTTTAAAATCTAAAAATAAAACACATAATCCCTTTAGCATTATTTATAAAATTATGATTTTCAAATATTTTTTAAATTATCGCGACCTATAAAAGGTTAGCCCAGCTAGCCCTATCTTACTATCTTGGCCGTGCATTGCGTAGAGCATCAAAAAGCTGGAAAACAAACACTGGATGCTATTCAAAAGATAGGAAAACCAGAAACAAAGAAGGAAAACAATGGAGACTTCGTTGAGATACAGTGGAGATTCCAAAACTCTAAGAATCCACGCCAAGGAGAAGTTCCCCATCGATTCCAGAACCTATTTGCAGGTACTTATGCTTCTAAAAGCTTTCTGCTTTTCTACTTTGCTGATTTTGCTCTTTCATTTTCTTTTCTTACAGATACTGTATTCCTGTACTCGACTCGACTAGATTATTCAAGATTGTAACTGTACTCTCTGTTTCTTTTCTTCTCTCTCACCAGATAGGATTTGAGATTTGGGTGTGAATATTCCAATTACCCAAAAATTGACCCTAATTTATGTCTTCTCATCCTTTTGGACGGGATAGTTCTACATACATATGCATACTGAGTTCATTTTATTTGATAAATCTTTGTATCTATCTATTTATGTGTCAGGTTCAAGGCGAGCTGGACACAAAAACTGGAGTCCCCACTAACTTTTGTGCAATGATGAAGCACTTCTATGCTGATGTATGCTATCCCTAAATGGTTATGCTCTTGTTTTAAGAACATTCTCTTGCAAATTTGGATCTTTTCTTTTCCAAGTTTTGTAATGTGTTTGATATTGTTCTGTAGTTGTCTACAACCCTTGGTGTAGGATTGCGCTATGATAATTGTGATAAGGTGCGGTACACGCTGCGTGGAAAAAAATCTTTTCTGGTAACCAATGATGAGTCGGTGAATTTCGTTGTCAAGGGAAGATATGATGTTGATCAAGAATTCCAGGGGGTAGGTGCAACCTTTAAGTTTTTTTTCACAGTGGTTCTTTTTTAATATGCTTACACGTAAATAATAATTTTGCAAATATTTGGTTTGTATGATTCGTTTTCTTCTCACCATGAGTACAGTTTACACACCTGTTCCTTCCTTTTCATCTTTGATTGGAAAAATACCTCCAAAGCTTCCTTTAATCTAGTGATTCTATAGGGAGAGAAGTTCAGTAACTTATCTGTAGTTTTAGCTTTCTTTTGCTAATAGTTTACGCAATTACCGTGACAGAGGAAGGCGGAAGGAGCTGCTGAATTTACTTATGAAATACTCAAATTCCGGAGAGACCAAGATGTTAGACTCAAAGTTGGCTATGAAGTACTTGAGAAGGTAATATCATTTTATAATCCTTTTTGTAAGATGTTAGTGCCCACTATGACTTTTGCTACCATCATATTATCCCTCTCAAATGCAATCCTTTTGATCATTATATCCTCAGTGCACTGTGTTTCTTTTTAATAATCTAAGATTAACATTAATGCAGTCTCTTTAACCTGAAATTATTTCCGATGTCGAAAGTAATCGTATTCAATACCATTAACTAGAACTGTTGAGTCGATTTTTACTGACCCTCCAAAGTAGAAATCCATGCTTTGTTTCCTTTCCCTATAACTTGTCAATTCCTTTGTTTTACCTGTGAATGTTCCTCTTTCAGGTTCCATATCTGCAGATTAGGGAAAATAATTGGACCCTCAATGCTGACATGAATGGTAGATGGAATGTAAGATTTGATTTGTGAGAATGCACGAGATTGACCACATGTAGTGGTGAGATGTGTACTGCAAGTGCGAATGTGCGGTAAACATGACGATAATTTCGATTCGGGTGGAACCGACATTGCCCTGTTGAGGCCTTATTAGTAGAAAGAAGAAACCCAATAATATCACGGATGGGTCATTAATTATTTTCTGTTTAAATTGTGGATTCATTTTCTTCAGCAATTGCCAGTTAAATGGTTTTGCCTTGAGAAGGGTAAATGCTAGCAGCGTGGAAATGCAACCAACGTTTCCATGGTAGGCGGGAAGCTCCATCTAAAGGGATGAGGAGTTTATTTATCTTTCTTTTATGTTTGTTTATTTATTCGACACTTATTCGTGTTTGATTCGTGTTAAAATTTTAAAGTTATATTCATACTTATTTAATATTATGTATGTTCATGTTCTTTCGTATAAATTAAATGAATATGTTTGTGAATATCAAATAAATATGTTCATAAACATATTTATATATTCAAAAAATGATTAAAAATGTCTATAAATTATAAACAAATAAATTATAAATAAATATAAGAAAACATATAAAATAATAAAGTATAAATAAAATCAACACCAAAACAGTAATAGTATTAATTATGTAATAGTAATTGAACAACAAACGAGTTTTAAATGATATGTTAAACAAATATTTAATGAAAATAAATGATTTTATCCAAATATAAGTATTAAAAATATATTATTTTTGTTCCCGCACATTTTATGTTCATTAAATAAATTAATTTTAATTTTTTTTCATATTTTTTTATTTTACTTGATAATTAATTTTTTTATTTAAGTTAAGCAAATATTTACTTAAATTAATAAGCAAATATAAATCAACAATAATGGAATTATTCATGAAGGGTCGATCTAACACTTTATTCACATGGGCCATCAAAACTTAAGATCTGTTTGTTTCACTGAAAACGTTTTCCAGAAATTTTTTTTTGGTAAAATGAATTACATTTTTTGAAAAACATTTTCTAGAAAATGTTTTACGATATTTGAAATATGTTGTTTAAATTCTTTTTCCACTAGTTAATGAATTTTTTAAAAATTATTTATTACAAATATTAAATACAATAAATAATATTATTTATCATAAAACTTAATATTATTATTTTTAAAATATTAAAATAATTTATTTATTATTAAAATATTATTTTTATAATTTTGTTAATAAAAATATTAATATTGGTATATTTCATTGAAATAAAAATATTATAAATTATATTAATTATTTATTAAAGTAATAGTGTTATATTATATTTTAAAAATATTAATTAGTATATCTTAAATATCTTTATTAAATATGATTAGATTATTATATTAATATTAAATATATAAATAATATTATTCATTATTAATAATTTAATAATATTATTTCTAAGAAATTAATAAATAATATAAATTTTATTAATAATTTTGTTATATATTATTAAAATAAAAATATAATATCTTATATTATTATAATATAATTTATTATTTTATTATAATATTAAACATATTATATTATTAGAAATATTAATAAATATATTTTAAATATTTTAATAATTAATAGTTTGATTAAAATGATATTAAAATATTTTATTAATATTAAAATCATAAAATAAAATTATTTTAAAATTATTTTGAGTATTTATTCTTTGAAGTGAAAAGTTCGAAAAATGACTTATGGAAAATCAGACCGTAAGTCATTTTCCAGAAAACACAAAGGAAATTCTGTTGACCAATAAATTTTTTACGTTGACCAACCAGTTTTCTTCCAACCAAACACTGAAAAATGAGGAAAACATTTTCCAGAAAACGTTTTACGTGAAACAAACGGACCCTTAATCATAAGTGGCCACACCACTAACCAAATAAAATTCTACTAGTATTCAGAGTAAATATCAACTTTTAGTACCTAATTATGTAATATTTATTTATTTTGCTATTACGTATTGGTTTTTAAAATAGTGCAATTAAATATTTATTATTTTTTCTATAATTAGGTATTTGATTTTTTTAACAATTCTTACATAGGAGAGGGGAAGAGAAATTTTGTTCCAAGTGGATGCCTACCCTAAGGAAGAGGAAATGTATCAACTT